GTGCCGCTGCTCGTCCCTTGTCCCTGCGCTGGCAGCCGCTCGCCGCTCATCCATCGCGCCGACGCCGCCACGTGCGGACGCGTTGTGTGTGTCGAGCTCGCCTGCGCGCAGCCACACCACCCTGCTCGCTGCTCGCATCGGCGCCGCTGCCGCTGCCGCTCGCTTGCGCGGCCACGGTGCCCCGCTCGCGCTCGTGCTCTGCTTGCGCCGCCGCCGCCGCCGCCGCCGCCTGCTCGCCTCACGCGCGACTTAGGCTTGGCCGCTTAGGGTTTGGAGAGGCCAGACGGCCGGCAGCACTTGCGACAGGTTTGGTGGACTAGTGATGCTGTGAAGGGCTTTGCTGCCTATTGGGCTCTAGCAGATTGTTGGGCCACGGTGGTGGGAAGGGGCATCGTGTGTAGGCTCCAGACTGGACATCGGAGGTCCTTCTGTTGTTCGGTTCGAACGGTTGTTCGGTTCCGTTGGAGGCCAAAACCGATCAACGAGCCGAGAACCGTAATTCCCATATGCAAAAACCGAAAACGAAACCGAAAACCGAAAAAACAGATATTTCGGCTCGATTCGGTTCGGCTCGGCTCGGTTTTCGGTTTGCGGTTAAAATGTGCCCAGGCTGAAGAGCATGTACCAACTACCAACAACAAACGGACCGGCCGGAAGACCTCAGAGCTGTACCCTACCAGCTCAGCAACTGTTTGGGACACACACAAAAATCACATAAATCATATAGAGATTTCGCATAAATCAGTTTAATTTTATAAGGAAAAAACACATGATTTAAAGAGAAAGATCCTGCGTTCTGGACAGGATATCTCAAGCTAACAAATAGCGAAGAAGTTTTTGAGGTAGCCATATGGGAAGAGAAAGCTAGATGGACGGAGGATCTGGGAAGGGTTGAATGACGAGGATGGATGCGCACTGGTGAGCTCAATGGTGTCAAAGAGTGCCGAGAGGTGGAGCAGGAGCCACCGAGGGTTGCCGAGAGGTGGAGCAGGAGACATGAAGTTGTGTGTTTTACTCGCCAGACGGCAGACAGCCTAGAAAGAGTAGATAGAGGGAGGCAACATATGGCCTTCGTGCAAGCATGGGTACTCAGCGCAGTGAGATACGGTGTCAAAACGTCTCAACAAAACCATGTAGGATTATTTTAACATTATTAGATGCTTTAAAGACTATAATATCGGTTTTTATAGTTAAGAGGGGTATGTAGTCAACTCTTGATACCATGGTGGTTATGTAGGCATGTTCTTACTAATTGCTGACTCACTGCCATGTCAGCACCCACGTAATATGCCACGTCGGCAAAATCGCCTTCAAAACCGTCTCAAAGGGTTATTTAGATAGTCTGCAGTTGTTTAAGGGGTAGATTATCTGGTTTTGCAGGTAAGGAGGTAAAGTAGATGAGTGTCAATAGTTAGGGGGTTCAGTAGACTTTTTCCTCGAAAGAATTATAGATTAGTTCATTGGCCTATGTCATGTCAAACCAAAAAAAACAAGGGGGGTTAGGTACTATGGATCTTGGTATACAAAATAAGTGTATGTTGGGTAAGTGTCTCTTTAAATTAAACAATGAATAAGGAATTTGGCAACAAATATTGAGAAAGAAATATATTAAAGTTAAGACACTATCAAAGGTAGAGAAAAAAGTAGAGCTCATATTTTTGGATGAGACTCGTGAGCACAAAAGACCCTTTTCTAAGTTTGAGTACTTTTGGTTTAAAGAACAATAACCAAATAAGGTTTTGAGAAGATACTTGATTAGAAAACCAATCACTAAAAACCTAATACCCAATGCTGTATAACATTGTCTGAAGAAACAAGCAAAGGTTGCAGATGTATTAGATTTGTTTCCTCCTTAATGTGAAGTTTGGCATTAATGGAGAACAAGCTACTATAATGAAAGCACCTAATAGCAAGGCCGACTAATATTAATCTACAATATGGTAACATTTTTGTATGGAGACTACAAAAACATGTTTGTTCACAGTTAACTTGATGTACAGATACCGTACCTTCTTAGTAATGGGTTAGAAGTTTCATGAATAATTTGTACTTAAGATCCCTTTGAAGATTAAAATCTTTCTTCGCTTCTTTAAAAGAAGGGTTATTGAAACAAAGATAAGTCATGTTGCTTTTGCAGGGAACCTAAAACCATCCAACATCTTTTCTTTCAATGCTTGTACATCATGTTTTTTTGGAGGGCGGTCCATATGGTGGTAGGAATTATGCCACCTCGAAGTGCTGAAAAGTTATTTAGGGCTCGTTCGGTTAGCCTGGAATGAGCCTAGGAACCATTCCGACTAAATACAGATTATACAAAATAGCTAACCATTCCGGCTGGGGATCTTTCCAGATAATTGTTCCCAACAAACCGAACCAGGCGTTAATGATTAGTATTCATAGAAAGATACAATTTTCATGTTTAGAGCAGTCATTTTATGGTTAATATGGATAACAAGGAACAAAGTTGTTATAGTTGATCCAAATCTCTTTTGCAGGTTGTAGTAAGGTGCACTAGCTTCAGGATTTAAACCCAATTGCAATGGTATGACGATCTAAGTCCAATTGCAATGGTATGACTATGGATACACGCTTATGGCAGGAGCTTGCTGAATTTCGAGGAATGTGGCATCGAGACTCTTTGACTCATTCAAATGGTATTTGATAGTTAGAAATGGGTCTTAAGTTGTTTTGTCATAAAGTATTTTGTTTGCCTTGATCCCTTTTTAGTGGAGATAAACCTAGCGACTTGTTTCATTATTTATCTAATAAAAACTAGTATAGGATATTTGGAGGTCCAAATAACATCCATTCTCGTGATTGAGTCAACGTTTAAATACACATGGTTGCCTTCGTTGCCATTTATTTATCCATTTGATGCGAGTACATACATATATATATTGACGCAAGTAGAATGCACGAATTTTGTCAAGATTTGATTTAGCTAATCCTATACGTTTGCTTGACTTGATCCGCGCCAAAGCAATCCAAAGGTAAAACCACCAGAATCACAGTCAGCAGCACCGGCTTGCATTGTTGTCTGATTGTACGTAGTACAGCTGTACTACTATGACTAGGACGAGTAGGACAGAAGAACAGACTCCGTCCATTTCGCAGGCAGAGGCAGCGACCAAAACAGACCCCGAAGCTGTTCGGCTCGTGGTTTGTACGGCTGATAAGTAGGTTGAAGCTGATTTATCGTGAGAGAAAAATACTGTTCTATGACTGATAAGCCAGGCTGATAAGTAATGTAGTAGCACATAGGTGCGTTCCCGACAAAATTCAGGGTTTCCTTTGTTTTACTGCTGCCCTTTGTGCAAAGAAATTAGACATCTTATATTTTGAGGTGTCAAACTTTATATCTACAAATATATTTATTAAAAAAATATTATATTGTTAGTTTAATAATACTTATTACACATAATTAATATTAATGCTTTATATATTTAGTGAAATTTAAAAGTTTGACTATTCAAAAAGCAAAATGCACATTTTTAGATGACAGGGAAGCATATATAAGCAGCAGCAGCAGCAGTTGTCAACACAACAATAATAAGGGGAAAAAAGATAGAAAAAATGCTACAAGTGAACGCAGCTAAAGATCCTGTTTGTATATTGACTAAAATAATTTCCTAATAAGGGCTGAAAATGCTATATAGCTGATTTAAATAAATACCCTAGATTTTAGATCAGCCTATAGTGAGAAAGGGCCTCTAGCCTAGTGGTTAGAGCACCTGAGTAGCATAGCGGGTATGGGTTCGACTTCTTGTGAGAGCGAATTTAAACAAAATTGGAATAAAAAATCATAAAAAAATTGGTTGGAGTTTCCCTGCTGACTTGGGTCAAAAAGACCAGTCTATAGTTCATTTTGAACTCATTCAACATTTATAACTTATAAAAAGCTAGTATTAATGAGTCCCCTCTCTAGCTAATACTCCCTCCGTTTCTAAATAAATCAATTTCTAGAATCCGTGTCTGTCAAACTTTTTAAAGTTTAACTAACTTTATAAAAAAGAGTAACAACATTTATGACATAAAATGAATACCTTATGAAAATATATTCTATGATAAATCTAATTATACTAACTTGATACTATAAATCTTAACGCTTTATTCTAGAAATTCGGTCAACGTTTAAATTTTTTTTAACTTGAGACAACTCTAGAAATCCATTTATTTAGAGATAGATGAAGTACATCTTATAAATAATTTATAATTTAGCTGATCAAACTACAATAAGAAACCAGTTATTGCGAGCAGGCGAGGAAGGAGATGGGGAGGGCGAGCAGTACAATGCCACTGCCGTTGCCTAGGAGAGGACGACGACCATGACAAGCGGTAGTGGACAAGAAGGATCGCCTTAGAAATCTCGCAACCCACAAGGCAGCCTGGCCTGCTGTGTATGCTGCCTAATGGGGTAATTAATTAATCAAATTAATTGCTCCCTGCCATAGCAAACGCCACCAAGAGAGAGAGAGGTTGAGCTTGCGCGTTCTACTCTCGGTCTCGGGGATACACCAACCTCGTGCTCCTGCATTCCCATTCCGATCCCCTTTCCCCGCCAGGGCGGCTTGGCTTGGTGGGGTCAGGTCCGCCTCTTGCTCTGCTACTGGCTCTTCTTCTCTCCCGAGTCCCGACCTCCCCTCTCCCCCCCTCTCCAGCTGAGCTCTCCTCCCCCGTCTCCTTCCCCCACCACCCCGAGAGGTGGGTGATGTCGGGGGAGATGGTTTCTTTCTCCCCTTCCTAAGATTCCTCTTCTTCCCCCATCCCCACCCTACGCCTTTTGCTGCGCTGCACCTGCACGCCCGCACGGCCGCTCCATGCGCCGCCGTATCTCAGGTCAGCATCACCAACCGCAGCTCCACCTCCCGATCCCAGCCCCAATCTAGGAGGAGCCGGAGGAGGACGAGACCGGTCCAGGATTCTGCCGCCGCCCTCCCTCGGCCGCATCGCATGCTACCACTACCACTACCACGACCGACCAGCAGCAGCAGGAGGACAGGATGTTCAAGCTTCACCGCCACCGCTCCTCCGACCGCGTCGGCGAGCGCTTCGACTTCAGATTCTCTAACTTCCGCGCCGTCCAGGTTGCTCTCTCTCTTCCTCCTTCTCTCCCTCCCTCCCCCTCCCTCCCTCGGGGGCTGTCCTACTCCTCTCCCTCAGTACCAAAATCGTTTCTTTTCCCCACTTCCTTCTTCCAGGGCCAGCCGGCCAGGGGAGGACAGACAGTACCAAAACTTGCTTACCCGATCCTATACAAAACAGAGGACCTGTGTACCCAGTGCAGAGAAGTGCAGAGAGCTCACCCTCTGTGCGAGGGTTTGGGGAAGGGGGGAAGCCTTACCCTCGTATATGCAATGCGAGGAGACCGCGACTCGAAGCCGGGACCTTGTGGTCACAGGCGCTAAGACTCTGCCGCTTCCGCTTGCACAAGTCCCGCCCTTCGATTAGCACAATTTCTTCTCTTCTATCTACTGGAGTAATCGCTTTGCTGCTTGCCTTTCTTTCATCTCCTGATTTGCTCGCTCCCGGTAGGCCAAGGCCGCTACTGATGACAGACACTCGTCATTCAACCTACATTCCTTCACCTTTGGAGTGTTACATCAATGTAGGATCATACTCGACCTTACTAGTTCGTATCGTACACGTTATTATGCCTCCTTGATTCTTGTCACCACCCTTACTCACGTCACGTGTGTGCCTACCTCAGAACCGCTCCTAAAAGGGTAACGGCAATCCCTATTGTTTTTCTGTACCATACCAACCTCATATGCAAATCGCATTGCTTCCTCTCCCAGTCTCCCCCTGGTGATTCAATGGCTACCTTTTGCCATTCAGTCAGTCTACTTTCTCAGGGGGTCAACTTTATTTCACGAGGTGCCTGCCATTCATTCATGTGTGCGTGTACCCCGAAAAAAAATGGTCCTTCCTCTTCATTTTAACCACGGCCTATTAAAAGGGGATACCGCATTGCCCTCTTGTATTGCGTGTGCCTTCTCATTCATTTCATATGTGTGTGCCTTTCCTGCAGTTTATTTTACCCCATCTGCTACATGACATGTATCCCCTCGTTTTTGTGTCTTATCGATTCATTTCTTGTTTTTTCATAGGTCCCCGCGGTATCAGACAGGCTCTTCCTATCCATAGTTTCAGTCGACAATGGAAAAACAATTGCAAAGTCCAGTAAAGTAGCTTCTCGGAGTGGAATATGCCAGTGGCCTGACACCATCTTGGAACCCATATGGTTCTCCAAGGACGAAGTCTCCAAAGAATTTGAAGAATGCCAGTACAAGATTATTGTCTCCCTGGTATGTAATATGATGCTTGGATATCCAGCTCTTGGAACCTATATGTAATATTTCCCACCTTACCCATTCTTGGATGTCCAATTCATGCTTCAGTCTCGGTGCTTATTACCTTCGTCTATCTACTCTGTCCTATTCCTGTCACTAGGCTTATTATTGGGTCATGAACGACTGCTCTCATGTAATGTTGCAGGGATCGACAAAATCTGGCATTCTTGGGGAGATTTTTCTAAATCTGTCTAATTTTCTGAATATAGTCGATCCAACCGCAATCTCTTTGCCACTGAAGAGATGCAACTCTGGAACAGTTTTACAGGTGCGTTTTGGCTATTCATTGCTCCTCCTCGTTTTCAAGGGTCATCTGGGCATTGCTTACATGATTCGGTAGCCAAAAAAAATGCTGGTATTACATTCCCATCATAGCTGCCAACTGTTACATAGGTGCCTATTTCATGCGTGTACTTTTGGCAGCATGCCTGATGGTGTCTGTCCTTAGAGTAACTTATGTTGACGTTCATATTTTTCCCCTCACTTGCAGCTTAAGGTTCAATGTCTTGGCACAAAATCTAAGCTGAGGTAACTAGACTGAAGCCTGAGTACTTCATTCTTGCCAAGTTCTGTTCAGTCTCTCTTCACTTCACTCAAATCCTGATAATTCTCCCATTTCTATGTAGTGGTGTCAGATCATTGAGGGATATGGCTCCCCGTCACGATGACCGTAGTCCAACGCCAACCAATGATGAGATGGACAACAGGTCAGATTGCTCCGATGGTATGTTCAACAAGGGTGTTCGTTCTTCATCCGAAAATCATCTGGGTGGAACTTATCAAGATGAATCTGGAAACAGGGTATGCTACTGCTTAAAACAATTTGCTGTCCCAAACATTACCCGTTCCATCCTGAGTTGTCGTTGGACTGTTTCTGATGCCTTAAGAGATCTATCCCATTTCCCCTGAAATTGTTGATTACATGAATAATAACATAGAACTTAGTTGCCAATGCTATATGTTCAACCGTGTAGCTAAAACACCCCATTTTGATGTTTCAATGTCAGACCCTGGAAGGGAATGAAAAAATAACATGTCCGTGGATCTTTTTCTGCAAAGCTGATGAAATCTTTCGCCTTTAGTCATCAAGCAAAAGTCTTGAATTTTTTCAGTTATTGTGGGGTATACTATCTTGCACAAGAGCTATGATAAGTTTGAATTCCTACTCAATGACCTATTCATAAATCTAAAAATCACATAAAGTTCACTAGTGATCAGCAAGCCACAAAAGCCATACTGTAAACTGCACGAGTACAATTATGCGTGGATAATCTCATCCTCCACAAAGGTTCCTCTGTTGCACATGACCTGCATGTATGCATAAATCCACAAGATACTCCAATGTGGAAGCTGGTGAACCTACCGTCATTACCACTACAGAGAAAACCTTTTTATGCCGTAAAGATATTTTTTGCATGACTCTTGGGAGCTCCTCGCATTTGGGTATAGTTTTCTATATGGACTGCAATTTCACCATCAGCAAGTGACATATTTTGGTTACATGTCATGCTCTATCAGAGTATTATGTGTCCATGCTGATTATTTGTCCCGTCTTCTTTTTTGCAGGAAACAAGTTTCTCTGCATCAGGGTCCCATCGGAGTTCTAATTCTGGAGATAGTACTGCAGATAGAACAAACTTCTCTCCTAGAGACAACTCTAATGGAGGACTTTATGTGGGAAGGCAGGATTCTGCTAGTTCCTATGCTAGTTATGTTAGTGCTGGTCGTGGTGATGACGGGCTTAGATCCAACAATTCGTCTTTTAGTTCTCGGGCCTCAGGCCCAAGTTTGCTGCAAGGGAATACTCCAAAAACATTTTCAAATGGCCTTTCTCAGTTATCTATAGGGGCATCTGACTCATCTAAAGATCTCCTTGAAGCTGCTGAAGAAACAATTGAGGAGCTCCGTGATGAGGCAAAAATGTGGGAACGCCACTCTCGCTAAGTTGAAGGCTGATCTAGAGATGCTGAAAAAGGAGTGTTCTGAAAAATCAAAGCAACAGGCTGAGCTAGCAGTTGAGCTGTCTGCTGCACAAGCTGAACGGGATTCATATAGGCATGAAATAGAAGAATTGAAATCATCCTTACAAGATGTAAACACACGGCAAATAATTACAGGAACACCAAAACGTTCAGACTGGATAGACCTGCAGAAGGAACTTGAAGGTGAGGTTAAGTTTCTTAAAGAATCGAATACGGACTTAACCATACAACTAAACAGGACTCAAGAGTCAAATATAGAGCTTCTTTCCATTCTTCAGGAACTGGAGGAAACCATTGAAGAACAGAGAGTTGAAATATCTAAGATTTCGAAGGTCAAGCAGACTGCTGATCCTGAGAATGGGCTGTTAGTAAAAGAAGACAAAGAGTGGGCTAAGAAACTGTCAATGAAAGAGGATGAAATCACAATTCTGAGGGAGAAATTGGATCGTGCTCTCAACATTGGAAATGCAGGTGGTGCAGGTTCCAATGCCATTTATCTTGAATTGGAGAAAGAAAATGAAATTTTAAGGGCTAAAATACAAGAGCTTGAGAAGGACTGCTCTGAACTAACAGATGAAAATTTGGAGCTTATATATAAGCTGAAAGAAAATGGTCTGACAAAAGGTCAGGTTCCTCGTATTTCAAACAACAATGAGCTGCAATTCGAAGAGCTTACATCCCGGATTCATCAACTGGAGGAGGAACTTAGGAATAAGGAAATGTTAAGAGATGACAGTTTTTCTGAGTCATCAATGTCTAATGCAGATGAGTTACAGAGAAAATGTGCTGACCTTGAGCTGAAGCTGCTAAATTTTAGGTCTCAAACCTGTGAGCTAGAAGAAAAGTTCCGAAAAAGCCAAGAGGAGCTGAAACAAAGCAATCTCGAGTTATCTGAGCTGAGAAGAAAGATAAACGGTTTACATTCTACTGAACTGGGAGTTTGTGAATCTGGTGTGACATGGAAGTACCAATCGAGAATAGCAGATCTAGAGGATACTGAACAACCTGAGACAGATACACTAAAGGCTAGGTTTGAATTGCAACTGCAGGAAAATGATGACCTTCGGCGTTCCAAGGTTGAGATGGAAAATTTTATTTCTGAGATTCAGGCAGAGAAGAGTCAGCTTGAGGAACGCCTGTCCGCATCGCTTAAAGAAAGCAGCATCACATCTAAATGCTTGGATGAAGTGCGGAAAGATATACTTGTGCTTTCCAGCAGTATAGATTCCCATGTTTCAACCAATAAGCTTCTTGAGAGGAACATAGTTGAGCTAGAGAGCTGCAAAGCTGAACTAGAGTTGCATGTATCGGAGCTGGAACAGGAAAACATAGAGTTGTCAGAACGGATATCTGGACTGGAAGCACAATTGACTTACCTGACAAATGAAAAGGAGTCAAGTGAGCTGCAGATGCATGACTCCAGATCTCTCATCATCAATCTCAAAGATAAAGTAGAGCGTCAGCAATCAGAGATGGAAACTCAAAGGCTCGAGTTTAAGCAGAAACAACAAGAATCTCAAAGAAGATTGTCAGAAGCACAAGATGATTCTGAAGTTCTGAGAAGATCTAATTCTAAACTACAATCTACGGTTGAGAGCCTTATTGAAGAGTGCAGTTCTCTTCAGAATCTAACTGCTGATCTGAAAAAGCAGAAGTTGGAATTACACGGTCATCTTACGCAAAAAGAGCAGGAACTGGACGAGTCGAAAAAAAGGAACTTTGAGTTTAGCAAAACAGTGGAGTTCCTTGAGGCAAAGCTTTCGTCACTACAGAAGGACATTTCTTCTAAAGAGCAATCTTTATTGTCAGAATTGGAGAGTATATTCCAGGAGCACATGGAACAAGAAGAAAGAATTAATCGCGCGCATTTCATGCTCAATAAGATTGAGAAAGAAAAGACTCTTGAAGTAGAGAATCTCGAGAGGGAGGTCGTCAGCCTCACTGCACAGGTCTCCTCCACGCATGAGGAGCGAGAAAGTGCCACTCTGGATGCTATTCGAGAGGTATCTGTCCTGCGAGCAGACAATGCTAAACTTGAGGCTAATCTCCAAGACGTTAGTGCACAATTGAGACACTACGAATCTCAATTGGAAGACCTTCGTAAGGAGTCTAAAAATAAGATTAAAGGATTGGTTGATTCCCTTAATGCCTCCAAACAAAGCGAGGAAATGTTGACATCAGATGCTGAACATATGAAAAAGTTGATGGAAGCTGCTAAATCCAATGAAGATGCGTTAAGGAAGACTTCTAATGAACTAGAACTGAAGCTTAAATCCAGTGATTATGAGAAACAACAAATGCTGGAAGAAATATCTGGCCTGAAACTTCAGGTTCAGAAAATAATGAATCTTCAAGATGAGGTTTTCAAACTTCAGAGTTCTCTTGATGAGGCCAAGTTTGAAAAAGGGAAACTGGAGGAGTTTCTGCGCTCGGTGACTGAGGAATGTGAAGAACTCAAAGCACAGAAGGCTATGCTAACAGATAAAGTTTCTGATATGCAGGAGACTTTGAGAAATGGTGAAGAAGAAAAGCGAAACAAAATAGCTATGCAGGCAAAGCTCGTGAGGTTGGAGAGTGATCTATCAGCATCAGAAGCATCACATGTACATGAAGCAGAATTAAAGAACGAACTCAGTAGGATCAAGAGATCAAACAGTGAGTACCAGAGGAAGATACAATCTCTCGAGCAGGAAAATGAGGATCTCACCAGGAGAGTTCAAATTATGGAAAAGGGTTTTGAGCAAATGTCCCACGTTAAAGAGAACCTTGGAAAGCAGGTTAGCCATTTGAAGTAAAGTACTTGCTATGATGATCAAACAATCCCTCCTTATTGATGTTTTTATCTGCTTGTGCCTTGTATTTCCTTGTGCTTGTAGGAGATTGGAGGAGATAACCAGGCAGCCATTCAGTCAAAAATTCAGTTACTGGAAACTAAGCTCGCAGAGGCATTGGAGGAAAATAAGATGTACAGAGCTCAACAGAAGAGGTACCCCTACCATCACAACCTAAATGTGTCCTGTGAGATGATGAGTGTACATAGAATGATAGGAATGTTGTATGTAGCTATTCTGTTTTGTTTTTAGTATGACTAATGAGTTTGACATTAGCTATTTAGTTTAGAGGACAAGAATCGCAAGCAAAGCATTGGCCAGTACATGTTGAGAAAGTATGCCTTTTCTATACGTAATTTTCATCTAATCTTTAATTGAAAAACTGAAGTTTGCCAATCCTGCAAGGAAATCACTCTGGGAGATGCTAGTGGTCTCTTAGAATAGAATAAATGTTTTAATCTCATTAACCAGTAGGTAATGCCGTAATGGTGTGCCAGTATAGCGACATCTTTTTTCTTTTTGCAATCATATACTAGTGCTTTCATTTCATTCTGATGTAAGGTTGTGTAATATGTTGTGCATTGGAATCTGTTCATAGTTCTCACCTTATCTGAACTGCTCTTTCATATGAACTGGACCTTGTGACTCGACTGCAAATTGTTTATAAAATATTGCGAGCAGGAGAAACTTGATTGGGTTTAGTTTCATGTGTTAAAGTTGGAGCACGCATTTCTAACTAACAGAAATATCGAAGTCAGTTACCACTATTGGTTTAGGATATTATCTGCAATACTGAACTTGTAGAACAGAGTCCACAAGAGTTAGTCCTATGTGATTGTTGGTTTTCCATGATAATATAAAAATTCTTTTTGTTTATGTACAGTCCGATGCCTGAGGGGCAATCTGCTGATGGAGATGGCAAGGAGGGTAATACCGACAGGATTTTGCAGTTGGAAGGAGAACTAAGAGATATGAAGGAACGATTACTCAACATGAGCTTGCAGTATGCAGAGGTAGAGGCTCAGAGGGAACGATTAGTGATGGAGCTTAAAGCTATCAAGAAAGGCAGGTGGTTTTAGCACGATGTGGAATTGTTGCCTGACAAAACATGAGGCTGACAGCACAGGTACTGCATCTTTCTTGTGATAGTTGGACACATTCGATAGCATTTCTTGTGAAACTGGTTTCAAACTTTATATCAAAAGGATCCCACCATCTGTTTTGGTGCTCAGACACACACACCTTTTGCCCAACCAAATATTAAAAACTTAATTTCTGGTTGTACAGATGGGCATCATCAAGCCGTGTTTTATCCATGCTTGTGGCATTATGAGGTTTATATCAGATTATCATGTGAGAGCAAGCAAGTGCAAGTGCAGAGTCAGACAATGTAGCCTGGACCAGCTAACTGGTGCTGGAGGATGCGCTCCGAGACGACACTGAAGGTCCCTATGATGCGGTGAACTGTGACCTTGTGACTGCCCAGGGCTTGGGGATGCGGCCCCTACACTGTGATATGATGATCCCATTGCTATTGGTATTTAACCTATTTATTTGTAATGGCGTGCCTTTTTATCTGGTATATATATACGCCAATTTGTGATGAGTTTGACTGGAGGGTGATGGTCAGTTGTTGATATGGTTACTCAGATCGATGACCCTCGGATCCCTCTGTTTAGATTGATTATAAAAAGAGTCAACCCTTTAATTGTCGATAAATGTAGTTACTCTATTCTATTTTGTGAGAGCAGTGAAGTGGCGCTAGGTTAGTAGCTAGCAGTCATTATATTGCACTCTGTACCATACAAAGTTTGGGTGTAGAATAATATAATAATGTGAAGGGAGCCCCATTTGTTCATGTAAGGTTGCAACTTGTTTTTTTACAGCGTATGCAGATTATGGATAATAATGAATGAAGTTGCCGTGGTGGTACGTGCATCACATTGTTGATGAAGCTTTTAACCCTCAGGAGGGTAACTGGGTAAGTGCAGTTGCATTTCGTCATTTTCCCATGTGTCTGGTTCCTGAAGCTTGCCCTGCAATTGTTGACACGTAGCCAGCTGAATTAGTGACTACACGATTGCATTGGTTAGAAGAGTTGTAACTAATGATATACTACTAGTTAGCTAGTGTTTGTAATGGTCGATAGCAGCGCTAGTCTAGATATATTTTAGAAGAGGGCGAAGAAGAATCAAGTGGCAAGTAGTCCTACAAGTAGAAGAGTGGTCCCTCCAGAGAAGATGCATGATGAGAATGGATGCATGAGCCCTAGGATCACTCACTTGGATCACTTCAGCTCTGCCATGGCTGTTGGCTTGGCCTGTAAAACTGAAACAGAGGCAGCTATCATCATTTTGTTTGTATGGGACAAGCGGAGCCGCGGCCGAGGAGTCCTGACCTGACTCAGTTCAATCTTGCTCACGTTGGGTGAGTCACAGGCGGTCATGTCGCAGGGGATGGGTGCATGCGCAGCGCCGCGAGGTGGCCAACGGTCCCCGCAGCATTGCGCAGACCGAACGGGAACGCTGCCGAGGCGCCCGGTGAGGTGTTCCGGGGAGAGCGGTTCCCCTCCGGCGAGTTGCACCATGGTGTTGGCGAAGGAGAAAGTAAGGCAACGCAGCTCCTCTCGTGATGATCTGGGTCCTAGGAAGACGTCGAGTTGGCGATCCAGCCTCCCATAGTCGAAGCCGAGGAGCCGTCGCTCCCGGGGACACGGGCCTCCGGCGCGTGCAGCTGCAGCTCCTCAAGCGCCTCGACGATCGCGTCGAGGCCGGCGGGGTGGAGAGGCTGGATGGCGGCGGGAGCCTGCGCCAACTCTCCCTCCATCGTGACGATGAAGTCCATGCTCCCGAAGCGCATGTGCGCGCCCGAGACCCAGCTGACGCCGTGACTAGCCATCCGAGGCCTGATGTGGACGTTGAGATGCGCAAAAACCCCCTACCTAGCGCGCCAACTGTCGGTGTTTCAGATCACCGGCTAGTAAATTTCTAGTTTACGCGTGTGGCCCGATGGTGTGCTCGAAGGACACAAGAATTTATATTGGTTCGGGCGGAATGTCCCTACGTCTAGTCTGCTGCTGCTCGTGTTACCGACACTAGTTTGTAGTAGGGGTTACAAACGGGCGAGAGAGGAGAAGGTCCTAAGTCTCTGGTGAAAAGATCGAATGGAGTTGAGTCTTGTTGAGCTCGTTCAGCCATGTGCTCGTGCCTATCTCTCCTCCATGGGGCGTCCTGCTTCTCCTTTTATAGGTGAAGGGGAAGGCGCAGGTTACAGAGAGAGAAGGAGAAAAGCGAGGGAGAAGAAGGCCTCCAGGGTCACGGCGTCCTTCATTTCCTTTATGCGGGTCCCGCCGGTCCTATAGATGATGACTGGGATGGCTCCACGTCGCGGCTCTGTTCGTCATTGGCGCTATACGCAGGCGTCGTCAGCCGGTCGCGGCACTCCACTCCATTCCGGCGAGCGGCGTGGTCAACGAGTACTCCTGTCAGAAGCCGTACGAGGATTAGGCAGCACAGTGCCGGCACGCTCACATTGTTGGCGACGTGAGCCCCCAGGTATGGTCCGTCGTGGCCACGGGTCACGTCAAGACATGCCCGCTTCCCTCCTGGTGTCAGAAGTTTGACCCTGGGGTCGTACTCTTACACCCGTAGTGGTTGGAGGCGGTATGGATCCCCGTCGGGCGAGACGGAACCCGCGCCATCAGGGTCGGGCGAGACCTTAAATACGTCTTGGACCATCCGGGCGAATTAGCGTTCATGACCGTTAACTTTCTTCCTCCAGGTATCCCTAATATCGATACCCGACACATGGTTATTCATTTATTTATGATTACTTGCCTTAGACATGTGGATAAAGAAGTTGAGTTCTATGAAATAACTTTATTCAAAAGTAAGAGGGAGACAGATCCCGAGATAGAAAACCTCATATAGGCAGAACTACAAATGAGTAATTGAAAATCTCATATAGCCACGGGTTGCCACCCAAAAAAGCCTACGACAATTAGAGGACTATGGTTAAAGGAAGTTTATATTTTAGGTGCCAATAAGTTTTTAGAAAAAAGAAATCTTGGAGTCTGCCTACACCTTGTTCGTGACATCGTCGAGAACGGTAGCGGTCGTCTCAAGCATGTCGTTGACCATGTCTTAGGTGTCCTTTTCGACGGCATCCTTATCATCGGTTCCTCCTTCGTTCTCGGAGGGCTCCTTCCTCTCGGCGGCCGCCTTCTTCTCGGCCAGTGTACACATCTCAATGTGAATCTAACGGTGCGGTGCGTAGGAGTATATGTCCTTAAAGGCATATTTAACTTTCCCCCTTTGGATCACTCACTTGGCCTCTGAAACTAAAACTGAGGAAGCGGATCATTTATATGATGTACTATTTTCATTTTGTTTGTAATATATATAGTATGGCACATATACATACACATACTCTTCGCCGTACGTCCCTGAAATCCTAGCTAGGGCATGCATATAAGGTGGGCCGGGGACAACAGCTAGCGTCCCAATATTCTTCCATCTATTTGCATATATATTAGCTAGCATTGGATACAATACAATGCAAATAATATCGCAATAGAATGGAACAACAATCGCAAAAGACACACACACACGTCCCACGAGCACTTTACAAAGATTGAGCCGACTGATGTCAAAGCTGATAGAAGTCACCACATTAAATAATGAAATAACTCAAGAAAAATGATGACACCCGTACCATATTAAGGACATGAATGACCCAGATGACATGTTCCACCACAAGCTAGACAACCTAACTTTTGGCAGCCTTTTATCTCTCTCTCCCCCTCCCCCCTCCTCTTTTTCCTTTTCCTTTCCATATTCTTCCTTAGTGTCAATGGCGAAAAAGTGACGGGTCGATCCCCGCCGCCGACACGTAAGCAAGACGAGAGAAACCACGTGGAGCAGATCCTGAGCTCTCCCTGGACTTAGGAGGACACCGGACCGGATGGTCGTGACCTAGGGCGTGCCAGTCAATTTGACCCTGTAATTGACAAGGAGACAAGATTGATCAGTAATTTAAGGTGGAACATACTAGTGTTTGTCCAGATAGTTCTAAATGTGCGGCTAAGTAGCCGATGATACAAGGCTATCGACTAGAGAGTCGATATCCAGCATGCTCATGATGCATAATAAACAAGACGAACATATCAGCAATTATCAGTTACTCAATTGCATAGATCTAAACAGTCGATGATCATGAAAACATGCAAAAAGGTGTAAGAAGTAGACATGGAGGCATTATATGAGAAACATACTAGCTTTTTACCAAGACAAAAACAAGTGAAAGCATGTAAATAGCCAATATATTCTCAATGTATGGACTATCGGCTAAAACAGCCGATTCCAGTGAAAGTAAAGTCATAGCATACAGACATTCATTCGTTGGACGTGGATAAGTCCATACACTTATCGAGATCCAATCTGCCATCTCTAACAGTGGGGATACGAGCCGGATCGATGCAACCATGATAGAGATAACATGTTAAACTCTCAAAGCATACGAATCTATACGCGCTCAACGGAATCGTGAAAGCATGCTACGATCGTGGAAGCATAGGCCATCGACTAAATAGTCGATGCAGACATAGCATGTAGCCAGAGGCTATGTTTGACCATAAGCAAGACTTGCTATTTAACGATCTCCTATCTATAGTGCTAACAGTGGGGCTCGACCGGATCGATGGCAGCCATAATAATGGTTCTAGACCAGATTTCATTAACTAGCAAGCTTTACCTAGGGCTAAACATGTCCTGACCACATGCTATCTTCGATCAAGATTGGATCAAAACGGCTAAGTTAACCGAAACCATCGTCACAACAAGATGTAAACAGGAAAAAGCAACAGGACGATAGATTTGAAGAGATATAAAGCCGATCCGTTTCAATCTTAATCGGGCAAGGGGTGATTTTGTTACAAATAGTAAGAATACTAGTTATAACAAGATCGATAATTAGCAAATCTATTAAAAACAGCCAGGAAACCCTACCAATCTTAATAGATTTAGCCGATAACTAATCCATATCAAAATTTATATGAGATACGAGCCGGACCGATGCAACC